AGGAATTATGGCAGACCAAAGGTCTAGCACTTGGCCTTGCTCTGCAGTCCTCTTTTATTGGGCAGTATTGACAGACCCACAGCTAGACACTGACAGCAGCTAGTAGCTGCTTTTATCAATGCCAGCTGTGGGCAGTTCACTTCTCTTTCTTTAGATAAGGCAAAAAGTGAGGCTAAAATACTGGGTTTTTTCTTAAAATCTCAAATGTGTTTAATTTAAAGTAAGATGTGGTTTTGTTGATTTAAATGTACCGTTTTCCCACTCAGTCTGTAACTACTGAAGGTCAAACCCAACAGTTATGTTACTTCTTTGTGCTTGCTCACAAGAAATCTCTTTCTTTCATTTGACACAATTTTTTTTTTAACTGGAGTCTGAGAAAATTGAAAGTCTGTAAATTAGGAAACAAAATAATTATCTGTCTGTTTTTCAAGGCAATAATCCAAGTCCCACATGACTAATAATGAAGCACTTAGTACAGTAGACTGTTGAATCATTATCTCACAAAAATAATGCTCTAATGGTGCTATTTACTATACACATAAATTGCTACAGAAAAAAAGGTCTCCAAATGACTGGCATTTCATAAGTAATACTTATGAGTTCAGAACTAAAATCCCTAGGTGTGATCAAAAGTTGGGATTCTCAGCAGTCCAGAACATAATAATAATCACATCAAGTACTCTGAATCCCAATGAAATTTATAATCATCACTTGGTTGAATCAAACATAGACTGGCTTTCCATAGTTTTAAAGTTTTATATATATATATATATATATGATTAAGTTATTTTTTGATTCTGATCAGTAAGAAGGACCAAATTACCACAAAACCAAAACAGATGTCTTTTGTATTTACATTCATGTCATTTTAATGGGCTGGGCTTTTCAGCGTGCTCTGCACAGCTATTTAGGAAATTCATTTCATAATTAGGAGACTTGATAACTTCTGACTGTCAGAGAAAGACACCATAATCCAGGAAGAGGAAGAGCTGGAGGATGGCTGCTTGTTTAATGTCCAGATAATTAAGTGTGTTGGACAGATGAGTATCTGCTTGATTTATCCCTTCTTTTGAAATCTTTAAATAAATTGTAGTTAACATAGACCAGTTCTGACAGTTAAAAGTATATTTCCTTTTAGAAAATATGAAACAATAATCTATTGTTCCAGTGCTGGAGTGCTAGATGAAACTAAGCAGTAATGATTTTGGAAGAGAAAGTATTGAGGTACAAACATCCTAATAGCAGAAAATGTAACTAGGGTATTTTTAAACTTTAATACATTGCTGGTGTCCTTTTTGCTTCTTACAGGGTTTTTCAGATAGAAAAAGAAATAAAAATAAAATATTATATTCTAGCTGTGAAATCAATAGTCTGATTCACATCCAGTGTGCTGGATTCCACTAAGAGTTCCCTTTTAATCTCACATTCCTACTCTACAACTTCTGGACTACAAAAGATAGAAGACTACTCTCTTTTCTCTCGATTGCCAGTCAAAACGTAGTTGGGAAATGCCAAAAACTAGGAAAGTTCTATGAAGTTTTATTGACTTTGAAGACAAGCTACAAAGGGACATTTTGCCTTCAGCAAGGTTTTCACCTGACTTTTTCTTTTCTTTAGCTAAGCACACCAGATTTTCATGTTCTGGTAGAATGTACAAACACTGTACTTTTCCATGACGGTGGAACCTATTTCTTAGTACCACCTTCAAGCAGCTGCCCCAGATCCTAGAGGACACCGTAATTCTCCCCGTTATTCAATCCTCCTGTGGAAGGCAACCATCTGTGAGACACACTCCTGGACACCTGCTGCCCCAGCCAGCTGTTCCCATTCTGCGCTGCAGCTGCCACCTGTGACAGTAGCTAAAAGCCAAAACCGCTCAAGCAGGAGGGAAACCGTCTGGCAGGCTGCCAGAGACAGAGGGGTGCAGTAAAACTCCAGCACAAAAGCTGCCATAAACCCACCTGTGTGTGAAACATCAAGTCACGAGGAGATAAACAGCGACTTTCAGCAAGCAGAAGGGCCCAGAGGGGCTCAGCAGGTTTCTTTCCCCTCCAGCAACTTCTGGGCTTTGCTAGAACCAGTTTAATAACTTGTCTCTTAACAGCTCCAGGGAATGGGAAGACTTGTTCTAGCCTTCTCCCCTTCAGGAGCTCTGATAGGAAAAGACCAGAATCAGAGAGAATGTCTAGAAGATAGTGTGACAGTTCTCCATGTCTCATGGATATTAAGCACTCTTGAAATAAAACTGAAATGGGGTTTAAGTGGTACACGTGTCCTGTGCTGGCACTGTGTGTGCATGGGAAATTTTTAGACTCCTTGGGACGGGAGCGCATTCAGAAGAACCAAAGAGGAGCTGAAACACTGATGGATGCAGATGGCCTAAATTCCTCAAGAATTTAGAGGAGGGGAAGTCACACATGATAAGAAAAAAACACAAACAAGCAAACAGCTTGTAAGATCCTTTTCATTCTCAATAGCAGAATTAATAGAACAAATTTGCAGCAGACACAAGCAAAGAACAGACTGAAAGCATCCCGATTTACAATAGATGTGTCCCAAGAAAGAATATTCTCTCTGTTCTGTCCCCCTTTGGCAGTGATTGTCCCATAAATTTTAAATAAAATGTTCAAACAAATTTATGCTGCTCAATGGAAAGAATTGAACAATTTGCTATCCAACATTAATATTAAAAATGTGATGAGCTGATACACCATTGCTGGGTAGCTGCTTATCTCTGGTCTTCAGGGAAATTGAGTCAATTTTCAATAGCTGACACACTATTATAAATAATATTTGCCACTAAAATAAGTTAGTGTTGACAGTCACCACCATTTCTAGTAACTAGTTTCCAGATTTACAATAGTGTTGCAAAACATGGAAATTAAAATCAGTTGACTTTTCCCCCGTGGCTCTGAAATCACATCACCAGTTTTCTGGTTTTCCGAGTTGTATTTTGGGCAGGTACAGTGTACACACTGTTGTATTATTTAACAGTAAAATGGTAATCACAATTAAAAATAAATATAAACTTCTTGCTAAAGTTTGTTTTTACCACTTGCTTCTCAATCTCTAATTTGTTACTGAAACAGAATGCAACATTTGAGAATAAAATGTAACCTAATGTCATTTCTTAAAAGGAGTTGTGTGAGTGTACATGCACATGTGTTCTCCACATTATTAATTCATTGAGCTTCTGTTAAAAGTCTCTTCAGAGGTAAGTGGAATAAAACCTCTGTTTTCCCTTAGTTTTTTCATAAGGACTGAAATTCAATTTGGGAAGGAAAGCCTTTATTAATAATTTAAGGCTTTATTAATAACACCCATGAAGTTACTGTTAAATTTTGTTAGTGAATTTATAGCTTGGGAAACTGCCTTTTAAGTACTGGAACAGGAATATAAGTAATTGCATAAATTGGAATGTTAGGTAGAAAACAATTTACTGCTGAAGAACATGGTAGAGCACAGTAATCAAGAAAATAAAAGAGTATATTGTGATGAGCACAAGTAGCAAAATTTTAAGAGATGTGTGCCACATTTAAGTTCGCAGATTAGACTGAAGTATTTGAAAAAACCCACTAAATAAAAGATATACTCAGCATGAACAGGCCTACTACCAGTTCAGAAGCAGAAAAGACAGTGAACCTTGAGAAATAATCTACTTGATGTGGGTATCATCATGCTACATATTAAGCTATGTATAAAATAAATGTATTTTGCCACAAAAAATGGCACTGTGTCAGATAAAGATATATATTATTCAGGATGGAATATCTGCTCTGTACTACCCAATATTATAATATTAGAGATCTTGAGTAAAATTTGTGGAAAAACAGGGATCTACACGGGTCTACACTGCAAAGAGGAAGAAGACCACAGTCACTTAGCCATTCTTCTACTGAGAAGGAGAGGCACAGGCAGGCAAATGATGTTCCCCTTTCCACTGAACCCTAGACTAATTTCTAATTGCACAGGAAAACTACCAATTCTTGGGACATATTTAAGAACTCCAAACTGGACATTTTATGTCCAGTATGACTAAGTCTAATATTAGCAGAAATCATCTTGGGCATATTTCAGGCACCGTCAGAAAAATACCTTGTTAAATGTGGTTCCACTTAATTTGACAGATATGCTCATTAGGCACGTTATTGTTATCCTATTCATTTCAGTAAAACAAACCCATTCATAATTCTGTTTTATCCCCACTAACACTTCCAGAAATTGTGCAGGTATGAAACTATGATCTATGCTCTTCCTGACCCCACACTTCATCAACCCAATGACTACATTTAAAATTGCTGTCTTTCCTTTGCAGGGAGGAAAGCTTTTGCTTTAAGGGCTGTGAACCAGTTGAACTGTAAATGAAAGCTCAGTTCATCCATCATTACTAAAGATGGAAAAAAAGAAAACACACAAGAATTTAATTTTCAGATCACAGGGCAGATGTTCAGAATTGTCAGAAAGCCACATTCTTATTCAGAGAGCCTTGAGATAACAGCACAGCAAAGAGCATAACCACCTCATGCAATAATACAATTAGAGGGCTCCTTATACTGTATCCTTAGATTATATCAGAATAGGAACTACTGGAAACTCTACCATCACAAGTCAGACTCAGATGCAAAGAGGTACAAGAGATACTGAGACACAAATGAGAATTCTGACAAATTCAGGAGATGTCAGAGCAGCATCCTTTATAAGTAAGCCAATACTGCTTAGAGCACAAATTTTAAGGAAGACTATTTGGCCAAAAAATGCAGAAAAATACCAATGAACAGAAGCTCCCTCTTTCCCTCCCACCCGGGGCAGGATGAAGGCAGATATAAGTAGGTCTTTCATACAATTCACCCATGCCCAGTACTAAAAGTGGAATAAAAAGGGGACAAAACCCTACATTTTCTGTTAATTTTAAACCAAAAGAGAGTTTTTCACCAACAGAATAATGGATAAATTTCCCTGTGGTAGAAAATTACTATGGTAGCACTAGCAAATGATCTTACCAGTAAAGTTGATGGGCTACTTGGATGCTCTGAAGGGAACGATTCAGCAGGAGTTTCACTAGAGGGCTTTCAAGACTCCACTCAAACTTGAGTACCTTAAGAGATAAATTGATATCAAGAATCAATTTTATGCTGGCTTTTGTGTCATTAAAAAAAATAATCATAAAGGACCCAGTGCTTAGCCTGAATGAAGCAATCAGACATACAGAGTTTACTCTAGCAATGGAATGGGCAAAGAAACTTCAGGACACAAGAATCTGCCACCATCTGTAAGATAGGCAGAGACCATCCTGATTCTGGCTGTGTTAACATGTATGTAAATATGCAGCTTTTCTTCCCCACTTAAAACTATCAATGCTGTATTTAATTTTTTATCTACTTATCTGGTTTGCAAAATAAATATTTGTGAAATAGAAGCTGTGGAAGGTGAAAGGTGAAAGGTCACATTAGTGTGTGAATGCTGTAAAGCTGTGAAGGTTCCACTGCCTCACAGTAAATATATTCTTACATGCATAAGTAGATATCTATCTATCTATACACACACCACAGACACACAAAACACCCTCTGAAAAACTGCAATGTGGAATAGTAAGTCATGCTTGTGCACAGTGTTATGAAATAAGGGAATAAAGCTTTCAAGAGTTTCTGCTCAATTGCAACACGGGACCTCCTCAATCACCAAGTGCTTTGGAAGCAGCGAGGCCACAATTTCCAAAACATTAATTTCCAGTGAAATGCAATGTACATCTCTAAAGAGACAATTCTACACCCAAATGCGAATGCTACTCTGTTGTTGACAGTGATTTCCTTGGTATATTTATAGTATTAAGAAAACTGTGATTTGTGGCAACACCATTTGCTTCCTTGAGTGCAACGAAGCCCTGCCACCTGCTTTGGGGATGAGAGCATAATTTCTACTGTTCAGATGCACTTTTTCATATTTTTTTTCTTTTTTTTTTTCTTTTTATTTTTCATTATCACTTGAAAATACCTTCATGTAGTACGTAGCAAAGATCAACCAAGCATGCCATAAGAAGCAGAAAACAGTCTATACCTCAGCCCTGTTTTTAATTCAAGAATTGCATCAGGTGACCAGCATTTCTTATTTACTCATCTTACAATGTATCAGCCCACCCGAAAGAAGCAAAAGCATTTAATGAAGTTATTGATCAGGACAGGCCATTTCCTTGGCTATCAATTTCCTCCTTACCTGAACCAGCTGTGGGAGATATTCTAACAACTCATCCTTTGACATATTTTCTATTTGTTGGACTGCTGTTCTGCGAATATCTTGATCCGGAAAACTAGAGCAAAACAAATAGGTATCATTAAGAGCTACCGATCCACTGCAACTCTACTGAGCTCTCACTGATATAAAATGTTAGAAAAAATGGTTTCCTATCAAAATGGAAAGGGAAAAAGATCAATTAATTTGCTTTATTGTAACAAGAGTCAAGAAACACATCACAGATAACTTAATTGGATTGACTGTTACAGTGCCATACAGGGGAAAAAACCCCAACCTGATCTTCAAATACTTTTTTTAATTTGAGCTACCATGTATTGTAATTTCGTGAAATATGAAGTACAATACAGATCTCTTGCTGCTCTTACCTGAAATAGGAAATTTCTGTGCCATGGGAACTTTAAGACTTCTTTTGTTCTGAGCAACAACAGAAAAGCTCGAGATTTCCCATACCAAGAGGGTTCATTTCAGATAATTTTTTCTAATAACAGCTCATCTGGATTGTATCATAAAAATATCAAAAATGCTTTTTAAACAGAAGTAATTTTGCTACAGAAGTAACTGAAAACACAGGTTGGTTTTTTTAGTTTTATTTTTTTTCATGGAAAATTTAGTAAAAACCCAACATCTTCCCCCAGAAAGGCTCCAAGTCAGTGAAACAGACATTTCTGATGGAAAAATGTTTGAGTTCTCAGCATAAGCTGTATTCTCAACCAATCTGGTTGAAACCAGAGTGGCTGTTGCCTCATATAGATTTTGTGATGGAGAGCTCTCACTGTAAAAAGGATAAAAGAAGAAAACATAGTACAGCAGCGGGGATAATGCAGAGAAAGAAGCCTGGATAATATAAATGGTAAAAACATTTTTCTTTAAAAGAGAATGAATTTTTGATGCAATCTGACGGATTGAAAATGGTTCTCAAGAGAACATTTTCTCTCTTTTTAGAGACAAAAAAATCAAAAAGTGTACAGTATCTCTTTTAACATCTGAAAGCCAAAAAATAAGATTTCGAGGACTTCTTTTGAAAATACAAAAAATTACTGCTACCTTTTCACATTCTGCAATTATGACATTAATCATTAAAGGTGGGACCCAATGATCTTGAAGGTCTTTTCCAACCTTAATCATTCTATGGCGCTATACATGGAGAATTTCAGGCACACAGAAGTTGCCTGGATTGCTTCAACTTCAGCGGGTTTGCTACTGTTCTGCTTTCACTAGGAAAAGAACAGATTTGCTTTTCTGTGTGTGTCTCCTATGTGTTGTCACCCTTATCTGTGTATCAGTACTTGCATGTTGTCCATTGCCATCCCAAGAATCTTTTCGGTCTTCTCCTGAAGCAAACTGGAATTGTTCACAGGGACCTTCCAGTTACCAGAGCTGCAAGAAGGATCATCTCTGCCTAAGAGGCAAAGACATCTTCAAACAGCACCCCAGTCAATTGGATATTGTTCAGAAGAGCTGGTGGGCTTTGCTCCAGTTCTCTGAGGGCAAGCACCTGCCCCCCAGAAAGCAGCAAATCCCTCCCCTCTGAACTGAGATGGCTGTTAGGGTCTTTGGAAACACCTCTGATTTGGCAGTCTATGCACACATAAAAATGATGACTAAAGGACCTGGGTTATCTTGACAATTTACCCTGAGGAAAGTCCTTTGAAATCAGAACCATCATGCGTGCCAGAAGATGTCACAGGCCAGCAGTATTATTGTTTCAGGAGCTCAGCACAAAACCAGACCGCTCTCTTCCCACCTTCCCATCCAGCACCTTTTGTCAACAATATACCCAGTAGAAACGAAAATCAGAAGTGAAACAGAGGAGACAATACAATATTTGCAGCAATGACTGGTCATTGCTATCAAGATAAAAAGAGAAAAAATTGCAAAGCTAAGTGCTCAGCAGTACAATGGCACCTGCTGCTCGAATCTTGAGCTTTTAAGTTCAATAAAACAAGCTGATGCAAAGCAGTATGTATGCTTTGATCAGTGAATTAACTACAGGCCATCAAATAAAAATGTGGATATTTTGATTAAAAAAAACAAACGGTGAACAGTTGGATTTACTTGAAAGGCCTGGTTTTCTGGGCTGCAACCAGCTGCCACCTGTAGCACTTTCAACCCCCCTTTTAACAATGCAGCTCAGGTCTGGTTTTATTATTTTGTTTGTATGTTATGGTATACATTTGATGATGTTTCCAATACACTTCATAATTCTTTGTATAATGCTGAGAGGGCCTTGATGGGGAGAGGAGGAATACATTACAAATAAATTATCATGATAGACCCAAATTAGCATCTTCTGCAAGGCTTATTTTCTTTTTATTTATTTATTTTAGGCAACCTACTAGGAATGAGAAGTTGTTACTTTAATATTCACATGGCTATTTAGAAAAAAAAAAAAGCATATTTGAAGGAGGTCTATATGTTAAAAAAATAATCTCTTTCATATCGTCTTATTTTCTAATTATGCAATTGCTCCAAAGGGTGGTGTGCCAAGCATGTGCACATAATATGGAAATTAGTCTTTCCTTTCCCTTCTCTCCTAGTTCAACAGGCTACTGAACAGTGAAATACACTCTACAGAGGCACCAAGTCAAGTAGAAAAATGTTATTACTTAGTTACAGCTTGTCCTTACTAGCAGCCAAAATCTAAATATATATGCAATGCTATAATGAGGGAAACTCTTATTTTTTCCAGCTAAACAAAGAACAACAAAATTATTTTAATCCCAAACTTTCCAGAAAATTCAAGAGCTAACATTTGAATATTTATTTAGAATTAGTTTGCTGCAAGTCAAAACTGGGGCTATATCTAAGATACCAGAGGTAGCACAGGGAGATGTGATTAGGATAATGATGAGCTCAAACGCATGGGCACTGCTATTAAACATCTGCAGGGCAGTTTGCTTCAGGAAACACGGCTCTTGTCACTCTTCTTGAACAAGATTTTGGTGATTCGTTGGTCCTGGTTACTAAAATGTTTGTTTCAGCTTGTAAATCTCCAGGTCAGCCTGAGGATTAGTTGAGTCTTTTTAACAGAATGGGCAGTTACCACATTTTTTTAACTACCTGACAATCTGTTGAACCCTCCATCTAAGAGCCACAGCTCCTTTGAATTTCGGTGTTGTTCAGGGCCACAGGTACAACAGCTAACAGATACAACGTTTAATTTGTATTTAAATATTGTGTACAAGTACAATATTTAATTCTATTTGTTTTACCCCTTACATTTGTATTTGAGCAAAAGTTTATCATCCTCAGAAATATTAGAATTGTGGCAAATTCTTAAAAACTCCATTAGTATTACATGGTGCTTATGCTATTCATGTTTACATACATCAGTTTATTTGCTAAAGCCAGTAATAGGGTATGGTCTAGAAGCAGATCTGAGTAAAAAAATCTACCCTTCACATGCCTGGAAACTATGCCATCTTGTAGGCTGGTAATTAATTAGGGCTGGAAGGTTTTTTTTCCCAGTGAATAATCTTGCAAACATTTGAGTTGCATCAAATCTGATTTTAATAATCCATAAATGGCTCTTGATTAGAGGACACAATTAATTGATTTTTTTGGCTCTGTGACTCAATGCAAGAGAAATCCCTTCAGGCTTAAGAAAAAGAGCTTCATAGTTTGTGTATTAGAGGACAACTTTCCAGGGCTTTCTACAATGAATATGCAATTATTTAAACCTACTGAAAACTCTTGAAAGCAAAGAAGTGAGATGACTTTTTGACAACAAATTCAGTATTCCAGTCTTTAAGGGTACATGCCCAAGAAAGAGGAGCTCATCTGTAGCGCAGCTTGTTAACATTAAATCAGTTTTGCAAAGGATTTGAACCTCAGATTGTCAGATTCCTGACATGTGGCCTCTGACACTGGCTTCAGAGAAGCAGGACGTTTGGGGACTCATCTTCCCCAGCTGTTTTATGTTTTTCACTAAAACACCTGAGAATTTAGCTAGGGAAAAAAAAAAAAAGCAAATTAAATGGTACTTTTCACCTAGTTTTAGGTTTCCATTTACCTGGGTTTTTTTTGTTTCTCTACAAACCACCTTTGGTCAATAAATACTTCAGTGAACAGAACTACGGATCCCCCATTTATTTGCCTTGCTGTATTGTAATATCATGTAGCTTTCTTCTTTTGAGAGAACAAGTTTTATTTGTTCTCTTTTCAGGTAATGCATATTCCACAACAGGGATTGTGACTTCTTGCAAGTTTGTTCCAGGTTTACACACTCAAAGACTCTTCTGAATAACAAACAATATGCAAATTACAGTTGTTGAGTCTAGACCTTAGTAACAGGTCACACTATGCAGGACTTCAAATTTCCCTTTCACAGCTCCTCTCACACCTTGGATTCTCCATAAATTGTGAAACTGTTTTCCTCTGATATTTAACCCCAACACCCTTTTTGCTGTTTTGTTCTTCCCTCCCTGCATGATGCCAATGATTGACAGCCACCCATTCTTTAATTTCTGAGTAGCTGTAGATTATTAGGTTTCCCTCAAGACTTTAAGACTGTTTTTGTGAAAGCTGAATTTTGAGCTGGATAAGCAAAGATTACAACTTGCTTTAGAAGTAAGGACAACTTTCAGCGTTTCATTCTTTTCATACAGACAGCCAGTCGGGAGCTATTTGTCTAGCTGTACCTTTCAGCTAAATCAGATTCAAACAGAAAACTAAGCACTGCTGAGGCATCCTGTGGATTTGTGAAATTCTCTGGAGGTTTTAGCATCTTCCAGTGGTGAGTTGAATGCAAATGAGAAATAGATGTGCATTTCATTTTAAACAGTTTTATTATCCTAATTTTTCTGTGCTGTTTCAAATAACCCTATGCTGAAATATATTTGTCAGGTCATTGGAACTGTACAATTCACTACATTTTCTGGCATGTGAGGATCTCTGTAGAGAACAGTATGGCCTTTCACAGGCCTTCTTTGTAGTTAGAGGCTTATAATATGCCACATATATTTCTGCAATTCCCTTCACATTTTAAGTTCTTTTGCGCTTTCAAAAAGGAAGGACTTCAGTCCAGTGAAATGCACGTTATTAAGTCTGGCAGAA